CTGTTTTTGTTCTAACCAATACCAAAGCTCTCCAACTATGCATGAATTTATCCCATTTATCTTTCGTCTCAAAAACCTTCTTGCACTTCATCAAAACATTCTTGCTAATATGCCATTTACATAAAAGATTAGTGCCCATAGGTAGAACTCTTGATATGCCTTTCATCAACGCCAACTCTCTATCTGTAATAATGACTTTTGGAAAAGCAGTATTCTCCATAACAGTACGCAATACGCCTAAAGCCCATGTATAGTTGTGCTCTCGTTCATAACCAAGATAAACAAAAGGAACTAAAAATGTCAAGTCTGTTGATATTACCCCAACAATCTCTAAGAGAGGGAGTCGATACCTATTAGTCTTGTATGTGCAATCCATAATCAGCACATGTGGAAATGCATGTAACAACTCCAAACTAACTAGGTGTGCCTAAAACAAGTTAGTCGCCATCTGTCTATCATCACATCGATGCCACTCAACATAATTTTGAATCAATAATTGCCCCAATAGTTGTTACATCTATGATCTTCCCACCCTCTGTATTACTCGATGTCAATGACGTGCGTTGTAAATTATCTTCATTGTTGTCGCATTAAAGGCATCACTTTGTTTCAATGTAATCAATATCTCTTTTGGTCACACCATACTCTTTGACATGTCAACTAATAAGGATGTTTCCTCCTTAGATAATCTGCCAGCAAATAAGGGCCCTTCAAGATGTTCAGCAGACAGATGATTGTGCACTCTACATAAGACATGCAACATCCAATCATCATTTGTAGATTATTTTTCCTCCTTAATAGAAATGGACATCCACAGTTTTTAGAATCTGTCAACCTCATCATTCTCCCTTGATCTTCCTATTATCTCTATAGTAACCACTTCTTTCACAAGCAAGGGTAAGTCTTGGTTTTCTGCCATTATCTCCTGCTTCTGATGTCTTTACAACAATGGCAAATCCAGTCTTCCTCCCAACGTCAGAAGCCTATTTAATTAATGCTTGACGACTACTAAAAATCTAAACATAACAAATATATTTATACGTCAAATTATTAATAAAACTCAATACAAATTAAAAATAAGAAAAAATCGTATTCATAAAAAAAACTTAACAAATCTCGTCTGTTATGAATTCATGACTAGAGTCCACTAATAATGTCGTACTTGCGTGCATTGTTGCAGTGAGTATAAGTATAATCCTTCCAAGCAAAAAATAATAATAAAACTGAACATACATGGCAATGAGTAGCTGAACAAATTTAAAAACTCCGACTTTATATTACCAAAAATGTATCTTTTATTCGGCAGTTGAATGCCAGACTTACATTTTTTGTTCGGCAGTTTCATACCGAACTATGTTATTTTGTTTGATTTCGAAATACCGAACAAAAGTCAAAGACTAGCCTACAAAATCGAAACAAAAACCTACCAAACAAATAAAAAAAAACTCACCATTTCACTTTTTTTATGGTTCTTCACCACCGATTCTTCATCTATTGCTTCCTTTGATGATCAAAACACTATGATTCTCACTTTTTCAAAAAAGATGTGTAAGAGAAAAGAAAAGTTGAGAAAGGAAAAAGAGGAGTAGGGATTGAAGACCAAGGGGTGTAAGGAGATAATCAAATATATTTAATTTTAGTGTTTTGTTCTTAAAAGTAATTTTACACATGGAAAAAATTGGAAGGGAAAAAAAAGGGTGATTCTACTTGCACCACTCTTTTACCTCCTTACACCCTCCATCTCATTACACCACTTTAAAAAAAAATTGAATTCTCATTACACCTAATATATTACCAGAACAAACCCTATCATAAAAAGAAAACTCTTCAAAACCCATCTATTTACACCTATACTTTTAGAGGGAAAAGAAGGAAAAGAGAACGATGTAGAGAGAACGACGCAGGGAAGAAGAGTAGACAACACTAGCATGGAGGCGTTCGGATAGCGTGGACGATTGAACTCACTCTTCTTAGTCGCCAAAGGTAAGTGAAAAAACTCTTCTTTCTCTCTCTATATTGATAGACATAGATATGTGTATCTATATATATATATATATATATCTATATCATCTATGTCATCATTTTTTGCAAATAGACAAAGAATAGCACATTCCCAACATAGCTTTGGTGGTTTTGATCTTGGAATTTAATTGGGTTTGTGATTTTTGGTGCTAGTTGATTGTTAAAGTCCAGATTTTGGTTCTATGTTTTATCAGATTTTTGGTCCTCTGTTTTGCCTACTGTCTATTTTCTTCTTTTTTTTAATTTTTTTTTTTTTTAAGAGTGATAGTTAAGTGGAAAGGACTAGAGTTCTGTGGGTAAAGAGCTGCCATAGAAGGTTGTCAATAGTTATGGAAAAAAATTGAATTTCTGGGTTAGAGTTTTGTGGGTTCTTGGTTTTCATAAATATATTGGTTAGGTATAAAATTGAGAGTATGTCAGAAGCAATTCGCAACTTGGCTCCATTCCCACTACTCTACCAGGGACCTGTCAACGTTCTCCTTAAGCATCGTCTTTTACTTCCCCAGGGCATATCCATTGTCTCCAATATCGGGAGAAACAAAGCAAAAATACATTACTTGTCAAATGAATCGAAAATTCAAGCAGAGTTCTACATACACAAGGAGCACCCTGTTAATTTAACCTTTATCTACCCAATTATGGTTTCTTGATCTCATAGTCCATGTTCTACATTTATTGGTTATACCAAGATGATCCCAATCAATTGATAAATTCCATTTATTGGATGTAAAATTCTAACTAGCCATTTGTAGGGAATAAATTAAAAATAGGGGAAAACCAAATACAAATAAAATTTATTCATTTTATAAAAAACGAGAACTGTTTTCATTAAGAAGTCTTCGCATGATGGAAAAACTCAAGCTTCCACGCTTGTATGCTGTGAAGATTTGAGCCAAAGCTATTCATTTTTTTACCTTTTATTTTAAATTGTCTTTTTTGGTGGGGCAATATCGTTTCAGAACAACTATCATAATTTCCTAGTTTTAAATCCAAGGCAACTTGTATAGTAAAAGGTATGTACCTGATTGTTCTGCATCTCCATAATTTCTTCTTGCAGCAACAATAATATAGCAACAAATATTTGACCTTTAATTTCTTTTTTAAATAATCTACAATTTCAAAAGCATAAAACTTTTGGCAGCAATTAGTATATACCTGCTTTTTTTTGCAACTCTTCATTAAGTTCTTTAAGTTTTGCAACTTCTGCTTCCAATTCCAAGTATAGTCTTGTCAGAAACCCAAAGAGAAAACTAGCATCAATGGACATTGTTGGGGATATAAATAATAATGTTACACCTTTCTCTCTAACAGATGAGATGGTGGTCAACAATTTCTCAGAGATCGGTGCATCAACCAAGCACATGTAAAGGGGATGTGTTGAGGAAATAAATAAACTTTGTCTTAACATAAGATTTTAGATTTTCTCTAATAACTTAAGATTTTAGATGAGATGTTTGGTTAACAATCTCTCCATCATCCAAGCAATCCTTTGAAATGTGCAACTTTGATCAACAAGGCAAGTTACTTAATATAATAAAGCTATTTATACATGGAACTATAATATATAAATATGTTCCACTCAACAAACCATCAAGATGATAATATTTTTTGTCATTCACATTTATATATATACAAACACGTTCTACTCAACAAACCATCAAGATATAATACAACTTAATGTTATGCAGCAGAAAGATGTGTTATATGCTACCTCTTCCTCCATGAAACTCATATTTAGGATTGAGTAGTAGAGATTTTCTCATCGCTTTGTCATATTTGTGTGTTTATATCTATATTTCGTAGACATGTTTATAAATGACTAAAGCAAGGAGATTCATCTCTACTAGAAATATAAGGGTTCGGGGAACAATGTTGTTGGGGTTTCTATTGATTTTTCCACTCTATTTCCATCATTTTTATATCAGCCTTCCTTCTTGAAATACAATGTAGATTGGTGAATTTCAACATGATCTTAACTTTTAACTTATAAATTGGGCTCACAATATTAGCCATTTCTATGAATGATCTTTGATTATTATAGGAATGCATAAATTACCACAACCCATAAAAACCACTCGATTAGCTTCAAGAATAACAAAACAAATGAAAGCAATACATTTCCAAACTTAGCTGCTGCATAAATTTTTTTTCCCCTTGCTGTACTTCAAGATCATTAGTCTCAACTTAATCAATGGTAATGAATAGGAGAAGGAAAAAAAAAAAAAAAACTCTACAAATGGAATTCTTACAATTTGCTTAATAGAAGTATGGTACTGCTATACTAGTATGTCTCCTTTTTTCTCCCCACCAACTAGGAAACCATGGATTCCAAAGTCACAATGCCTCACAATTTGAGGAACTTAAGATACAATTTTGAATCCTAACACTTCCTTGTTTCTTAGTTTGAATACTCTTTTCAAATTATCTGAATATTATTACACAAGTATGTCAATTTTCTTGTGCGCTTTAACATGATCCCAAGAAGATTAGATTGTGTGCTTTAACATACAATACAATGTTAACATTTAAAAATTAAAAATAAACAAGAAAAATTGGAAACTTGAAATAGAACAATATAGGCACATTAAAATTATCAAATGCATACTTGCATTATAATTTGAATTTTTTCCCTTTTCTATACATTTGCACATTCAAATTTTTTTCTTTAAATTGAATGTTATCTATGAAATTATGGTTTCTTTGCTGATATTGTTTACATCAGTCATTTAATATATTTGAGTTTTTGCTGATATTGGGTTTAATTATTATTTTTTACATAGAAATGGTTAGTGGTGTCTCATGTAAGAGACCAACGGCATCCAACAGAAGACGTGCTAGGCAAACAGAACTTGAACCAGTGAAAGTGAATGTCCCTGTGGTGGAGGATGACCATGTGGATGTAAATAATGATTATGTTGACGACGATATTGGTGTGGAGGATGATGATGTCGATAATGATATTGGTGGAGGCTGACCTCATGGAGGACGATGTTGGTATGGATGATGACAACACAAAACCAGTTCCGGGTGCTCCAGAGGATCCTTCATTGCTAATTAGCTTCCATAACCATGTTGCTGCCGCTGTTTGTAAGAAAAAGGTATTTGGTGAATTTCTCAACAATAAGCTAATCGTATGTACTATATGCTTCAAATTATTTATGTGTTTTATGTAAAATGTAGGAACGGGGACCTCTTGAATGTTTGAATCATTCTCGAAAGCTTGCTGAGTTGGAGGCTGACCTCATGGAGGACGATGTTGGTATGGATGATGACAACACAAAACCAGTTCCGGGTGCTCCAGAGGATCCTTCATTGCTAATTAGCTTCCATAACCATGTTGCTGCCGCTGTTTGTAAGAAAAAGGTATTTGGTGAATTTCTCAACAATAAGCTAATCATATGTACTATATGCTTCAAATTATTTATATGTTTTATGTAAAATGTAGGAACGAGGACCTCTTGAATGTTTGAATCGTTCTCGAAAGCTTGCTGAGTGGCCATGGATGTCACCAACAGTCGAAAATGTTAGGTGGAGACATTTGGTTGAGTAGTCTGGTCTTAGTGTCCTTATTGATCACACATATCAGCATGGCAATAGAGTGGCAATATCTGCCTTCGTTGAAAGGTGGCATCCAGAGACAAATACATTTCACATGCCAGATGGTGAGATGATTGTCGCGTTGGATGATGTGTGGACCATACTTGGCATTCCAATCACTGGCATGGCTTTATCATGTCCTAAGTTAACAAGATACGAGGTTGCTGAACTGGTGAGTGCTATTTTGGGAGTGCTAGTGAATGATGCATTTGTAGAATTTGTTCAATCTCATGGGCAATCCGTGAAGCTAGCTAGAGTGGTTACGAATTAGATTTCATGAAGTTAAAGATACAGATGATGCAAATTTCATAGAATACGTAGCGAGAGCTTACTTGCTATATTTATTAGGTTGTACCCTCTTCGCTGACAAGAGTGGGACTCAAGTATCCATTGCATACCTGCACATGTTAACTGACATTGATGTTGTTAGCTCATATGCATGGGGTGTTGCAGCATTGGCATTTCTGTGTAGACAATTAGGACTTGTTAGTAGGGTTGGTGTTAAGCAGATTGCTGGTTACTTGAAGCTATTGGAAGCATGGATTTATGAGCATTTTCGTTTAAGAACGCCTCATCCAAATTTGTCCTATTTTGATTAACAACCTTGTCTATGTCGTTGGAGTCCACGGAGAGACGAAGATTTTACAGAAGACCACTTGCAAACATTACGAGAGCAGCTTGACATGTTACGTGCTATTGAGGTTAGACATTTTATAATAGTGTCATATTGTGTAAAAAAAAAAAAAAGATTTCATAACTAACATTATGTATTGCCTATTTGTAAATCGAGTGGGATCCATACCGTTTATGTAGGACACACCATCCACTTCATGAGGTTGCATATTATACTAGATGTTTGAAATGTCTTGATATTGTTGAACCCTATCACCCCAATAGGGTTTTACGACAGTTTGGTAGGGTCCAAACCATCCCACCAGCACCATTATCTCATGTTCAAGCTACACGAGGCAGTAAACCAGGACAGTACAGAGTCATGTATCAATACCATGACACGATATGGGCGCAATGGGAGAATCATGTCTTGTCCATTAACGCTCGTAGTGTGCCTATACAACAGCGCTTATCTGAATGTGTACGGGGATACCGTGAGTGGTATGCTCGTGTTTCGCACCGGGTTGTTCAAAATTCTACGCATCACTCTCAGTTTGATCCACGTGTTCAACATCCCGAGAATGATGTTACTATGGATCCTGAGTGGGTAAGCAAATTGTGAATTAACTTTTTTCACTTGTAAGTGGTTCACCATAAATCAAACCCTAAGTATAATTTTTATCAATTTTTTTGCAGGGTAATGATGTTGCTTTCAATGTTGGTGCTGCAGTCCATAGACTCGGTCGTGATGAATGTGTCTTGCACCCTGACATGCTGTATGAAACCATTGGTTGGATGCTGCAAGTTCTTGATAGACAGAGTTTGGGATTTACATCGACACTTATAGTTTTTGTGAATGCCTAGCCCCGTACAGAATTTGGGATCTAGTTTTTTTTTTTTTTTTTTTGATGACATAGTTTTTGTGAATGCCTAGCCCATACAGAATTTGGGATATACTTTTCCCTAATGGCATAGTTTTTGTGGATGTCTTGGATCTTTTGTAAACTGGATGTTTGGTTAGACAAGTAATGAATTGTCATACTTTTGTAAGAATTTTAAACAATTTCACATCTATTTTGTATTCAACATTTATGTGAATGAAAACTTATTTTCGTGAACATATGGATTTGTTATTGTTTGTAATGCATTAAAGTGTTTTGGAGGGATATGGTACCATTTGTTGGAAGTAACATTGTTTTTTTCAGTGCTATGGGCTAGTTCAGTGGCATACTGCTAAACAATTTCCATTATTCAGGTGTTCAGTTGCCAAAAACAATAGATCCTTCCAGCATTTAGTTGCTATACATTTCCAGAGCCACTTTGTCCTAAACAATGTTTTTTTATTTGTGCTGGGCCTATTCGGAAATACAATGCTAAACAATTTGAATTTTTCTAGTGCCGTGTTACCAGATGAAATTTTGTTTCCCAACACAATGTTACCGCTCAATTGGATAATTTCATATTGCTTCCCAACAAAGCCAGTAGAGTCCACATTGAAGTTCCTGTTCAGTCACACAATGAGAAACAATTTACAAAACTTCGGTTCTATAATGTCGGAATAAATTGTTTTGCCCAGTCTTTTGTTGTTATACATTTACAGAGCCATTTCCTCCCAAATAATGTGGTAATAATTTGTGTTGGGCCTATTCGATAATAAAATGCTAGTGAATTTTAATTACTCTAGTGTCGTGTTACCAGACAAACTATTTTTTGCCAGCATTATGTTGCCATATAATTGGATAATTTCACAACAAATTCAGTGGAACCCACTATGAAGTGTCTATTCGGTCACACAATAGTAGACAAATTACATTTGTTTGGTGTTATGTTGCTTGAAAAAATAGATTTGTCCAGCGTTCTGTTGCTGTACATTTACAGAGCCACTTTGTTCCAAATGATAATTAGGACCTGTTCGGTAATACAATGTTAACGAATTTCAATTAATCTAGTTTGACAAAAAAAAATCTATAAATCAAACACGCATCTATAAAATCAAACATAAAAATTTTCCATAAAATATTTCATAACAAAATCAAGTGTACGAATATCCATAAAATCTGTCATTGTTTACATCCATCAATCAAACATGTTATCAAAAATCTTTTATATCGATTGTTTCGGTAGTTATTACGTCAGGGCTAATAAGAGTACGGAATTGCTGATTGCAGATAGTATATGCTTTCTTTCATCCACTAGCACACGGGTGATGAAAACAAATCCAATTATTTGCTATCGGAGGTGCTGGATGACCAGGTTGCAGATAAAACTATAACAAAGAAATCAATAAATAGAATTACCAAATAAGACATGGTAATGATCAAAGTAGGCTCGGTAGTTACTTGCACGAAATGGTTTCCATTTACAAATCCTATGCAGATATCTCTTCGATCAGGTGTTGCAATCAGTACTGATCTAAGTGGTAGAAACGTCAAGCATTGTTGCATGGATAAATGGTAAAGAACGACTCGGTAGTATGATGCTATCAAATGGCCCATGTCAGGCATAGTCATCCAATGATTAAATCCAGGGCTAGGTTCGAAGTAGGATAAGATAGAATTAAGGTCATCAACCCTTTCTTGTGAACCAAATAGTTGCACGTAGTGTACTACATTTGAATACAACTCAGTCAACAAGTTGTGCCTAACTTTTTGTTAATCATCTTCACCTAAACCAATCAATCCAACTATTGCCTTGAAACCACAATTGTCATCTACTTGTACATCTTTTATGTGACGGATATATGGTCTCAACTTCTTCAAAAATTGTTCGAAGTAAGAGATACGATTTGTTGACTGCGTCATACAAACCTACATCACAAATATACAACAATGGATATATGAAATAATTAAAATGAGGCAGAAAACTATTATAATATATTTTGCACATAGTTACAAGTTTTATGTACTTCAATACATTATCTTTTTTTTCCTTCTTTCGTTGCACTTGCTTACGAACTGGTGCAGTTGAGATGGTAACACCCTGTGAATAACTATCTTCCGCAGATAGTACAAACTCAAACGCAGATGGCTCACGTTTAATAGACGTATCAATTTTGAATTAGCCACGGCCGCGACCTCGGCCCCTCCCTCGCTTGTCAGTCTTGAGTTCAAGTTCCATCAAAAATGTACTGTCTGGACTAATTAACACCCTCAACTTCTTCAAAAGGATCACTTGTTGCGTTTCGTCAATCATTTGGAATTTCTCAATAAAAAAAGCAGTCTCTGTTTTGCAATCCAACTCCAAAAAAGCACTTTCTGAAACTGGAAGCATATCTAACTTCCTCCAATGAGGATTTATGCACGAGAGGGGAATCGGTCGACCTTGTTGAAAATACTCAGCTATTTCATGTGCACATTGCAACCCATGTGTATGTTGCAAAATGTAGTCACATGCAGCAACATCTATTCCCACACTATTCGATCTCTTTGACTCTACCAATATTTTTTCCAAACTACAAATTGAAATAAAACCACATAACTCAGTGAACTCAGTAGGTGTGTAGTTGTATTGGACTACAATCAAACTCTATTGAAATGAGGCTTTAATGTCTGCATGCTGCAACTCTAACAAATTGTATATTTTGGTCCAAGATGTCTCAAAACTGCCTTGACTTGATCCAAGTTGCCTCTTTAATTTAGCTTGAGAACTCTCCACCCTACAAGTATGTATATTTTGGTATTTAATATAAAAATCAAAGAATTATAGCAATTCATAAATACAATGACCATAATTTACTTGTTTGTAGTAGTATTTTCGAAATGCATACTATTGTCTGTCCAAGCTGCAACAAATTTTTCCTTGTATGGCTCGAAACAATTGGTAGTAAAATACTTAATAGCTTCAGGATACGTACTAAATTCAGTCTTGAGATTGGAAAATTGTTCATTAAATTCTGTTTCTATTCTAACCAATACCAAAGCACTCCAACTATGCATGAACTTATCTCATTTATCTTTCGTCTCAAAAACCTTCTTGCACTTCATCAAAACATTCTTGCTAATATGCCATCTACATAAAAGATTAGTGGCCATAGGTAGAACTTTTGATATGCATTTCATCAAAGCCAACTCCCTATCTGTAATAATGACTTTTGGAAAAGCAGTATTCTCCATGACAGTACGCAATACGTCTAAAGCCCATGTATAGTTGTCCTCCTGTTCATGATCAAGATAAGCAAAAGCAACTGAAAAAGTCAAGTCCGTTGATTTTACCCCCCAACAATCTCTAAGAGAGGGAGTCGATACCTATTAGTCTTGTATGTGCAATCCATAATCAACACATATGGAAATGCACGTAACAACTCCAAACTAACTGGGAGTGTCCAGAACAAGCCAGTCACTATCTCTCTATCATCACATCGATGCCACTCAACATAATTTTGAATCGACAATTGCCCCAATAGTTGTTGCACCTGTGACCTTCTCGCCCTCTGTACTACTCGATGTCGATGACGTGCGTTGTAGATTGTCTTCATTGTTGTCCCATTAAAGGTATCCCTTTGTTTCAATGTAACCAATATCTCTTTTGATCGCACTATACTCTTTGACATGTCAACTAATAAGGATGTTTTCTCCTTAAATAATCTACCAGCAAATGAATGCCCTTCAAGATGTTCAGCAGACGAATGATTGTGTACTCCGCATAAGACATGCAACATCCACTTATCATTTGTAGGTAATTTTTCCCCCTTAATAGAAATGGACATCCACACTTTTTAGAACCTGTCAAGCTTAATCGTTCCCCCTTGATCTTCCTGTTGTCTCTATAATAACCACTTCTTTCACAAGCAAGGTAAGTCTTCGTTTTTTGCCATTACCTCCCGCATCTAATGTCTTTATAACAATGACAAATCCAGTCTTCCTCCCAACGTCAAAAGCCCATTTATTTAATGCTTGACGACTACTAAAAATCTAAACATAATAAATACATTTGTATGTCAAATTATTAATAAAACTCAATACAAATTAAAAATAAGAAAAAATTGTATTCATAAAAAAACTTAACAAACCTCGTCTGTAATGAATTCATGACTGGAGTCTACTAATGAGTATAAGTATAATCCTTTCAAGCAAAAAAAAAAAATGATAGTAAAAATACATGGCAATGAGTAACCGAACAAATTTAAAAAATCCGACTTTATATTACTGGAAATATTTATTTTATTCGGCAATTTGATACCAGACTTATATTTTTTGTTTGGCATTTTGATGCCAGACTATGTTATTTTGTTCGATTTCAAAACACCAAACAAAAGTTGAAGACCAGCCCAGAAAATCGAAACAAAAACCTACAAAACTAATAAAAAAAACTCACCATTTCACTTTTTTGATAGTTTTTCACCACCGTTTCTTCATCCATTGCTTTTTTTGATGATCAAAACACTATGATTATCACTTTTTCAAAAGAGATGTGTAAGAAAAAAGAAAAGTTGAGAAAGGAAAAAGAGGAGTAGGGATTAAAGTTCAAGGGGTGTAAGGAGATAATCAAACATATTTAATTTTAGTGTTTTGTCCTTTTAAGTAATTTCACACATGGATAAAATTGGGGGGGGGGTTGGAAAAATCTCATATGGACGGTGTAAGGAGGCCAAAGAGTGGTGTAAGTAGAATAAAAAAAAAAAAAAACACTCATATTGAAGGTGTAAAGAGATAAAGTAGTGGTATAAGTAGAATCACTCCTATTGAATTACGAAATGACCAAAAAGTCTTTCGGTAAATTTTTCCACAAAGACTTGAAATTATAGGTTACCTTTCATTTTTGTAGGGTAATAATAATGTATCATCCTTGTCAAATAATTCAGGCACTAGAATAATTAGGGTTGGTTTAAAAAGTGATTTTTTTTAATGATTTTTTAGTTTTTTTACAAAAAAAAAATGTAAAATATGTGTAAAAAAATAGAAATGAGTCTTTAATTTTTTTTTAATGATTTTTTGTTTTATTAACTATCAATTTATTGTCAAACGAAGTCTTAATGAAAAAAAAAAATTAATGTCAAGTAGCCAACAAGGTAATTAAACAATAAAATAAATGAACCTAATAGGTTGAGATCGGAAATGATTTAGTCAATGAAAACGTCACTAAAATTGTAATGATGTCATAGTATCTTAGGCTGGGGCATTTGGCGGCGTTTTTACTAAATATAGCGATGCTTTTGAAGCGTCATAAAACTATAGCGACGGCCGCATCTTCGACGTTTGGTACTAAACGTCACGAAAACAATTCGCAGCATTTTGGATAGCTATAGTAGCGTTTTTTAAACGCCACTAAAAGCCTAATTTTCAGCAGTGACCGATATTATATAAACTACCAATGCATCTTCGTGGATAATTCTAAATGTGTAACTGGTACGGATACGACATATTTGTCGAAATATTCATACTTCATAGTCTCAAGATAATTCTAAATAAGGACTTTTATATTTTTTTTATTTTTTATTTTTGCAAAGTGTATATTATTTAAAATTTAATTTTTTCATTATCGAGATAAAAATATTTATTAAATATTTAAATTTAATTTTTTTTATATTTGGGGGGCAAATTGATTTTTATGATATAGTTTGGATGGTAAAATGACTTTAAATGAATTTTGGTGCCACGTCAGTACATTTCATCTAATTGTAGACGAAATATGACGGCAGGGGTTAAATTGATTAATTCGTTAAAAGTTCAGATACTAAATTGAAATAAATCGAAGCATGGGGGTCAAATTGAAAAACGCACGATAGTTTGGAAGCAAAATGATATTTCCTCTTATCAATTAGTATATAAGCTAAGGCCAATTAACAAATCAATAAAGAAGAACGAAATAAAGAACAAACTAAGAAAAGATTGAGCTTGGATTCCAAATTAAAACACACTAACATAGTAGTTTATATTGATATTAAAGATTTATTAATCATATATCACAAGAAGGTCCATGATCTATCAGTACTAGAGGAACATATAAACATAACTACAAAACATTACAAGTTGCAGTTGCACCACGCATGATACATATTATATATCACTCTAGTTTATTTATATCTGTAATATTTACATTTTTTTATATATAAGTATATATGTATTTCTTGACCATAGTCGCTTTATATATAAGTATATATGTATTTTTTGACAAACCACCAATCATTATTGCACTAAACCTAGCACAGCCAAGTTGAACCACGTTTGGCCAAACCACTTGAGTATAGTGTATACACCGCCAATACATGAGTTGGAGTTGTAATCATGGTTAGGGTTCTCACTTACCTAAATTTTGATGGTATTCGCACCTAAGAAGGAACCCATGTCCTTGGCAATGTTCTATCTGTAGGGCCCACTAGAATGTGCGAGGTTGCAATTACCCTTATTTATTTATTTTTATCCAAAAAAAATTTATTGATGAATATTAAAGAAACATTACATAACTAAAGTAAGTTATTAAACAAATGAGCACTTACCAATAAGTCTCATACATAAAGTTCAAAATCTATTTAATCCCAAAACAAAATATTTGCACCAATTAATCCTACATATGTTTAATTGTTACCAATTTTTTTTTATTTTAAAACTTTAAAAATGATGCTATATCCAACGACTTCCGTCAAATTTACTGAAGACTCGCCGAAATATTCAACATCACCGAGAAGTTGCCGGAGCAGCACCAGAAGTCTGCCGGAGTGTTTTGAGCATTGCCGGAAGTTCACCGGAGTATTCTGAACATCATTGAAAACTATCAAGAACATCATCGGAGGCTCACCGGAATATTTAGAATATTTTCTGAAAAAAAAAATAATAAATTGAGAAATTATAGTTAAAAAAACATGACGACAACAAATAACAATGGGAAAAAGTATATATTATTTTTCAATTTTTGTAGAGTTTAAGCAATTAATCTGTAATGTTGATTAAACTAAAAAGTAAGCTCCCTTTCTATCTTTAATAAAATTTTCTTTGCTGATAAAAAAAAAAAGTGAAAAGTAAGCTTTGAAACTATAAAATGTTATAGTTTCAAAGCATTATTCCATTCAGCTGGAAAAAACATATTATGAAACTGTAAAATTTTACAGTTCTAAAGAATGTTATGAAATTGTAAAATTTTATAATTTTAAAGCATGATTCATTTTAGCACCAAAAAACCTAAAACTGTAAAATTTTACAGTTTTCACCGCCTGTAACTAAAACTTAAAAACAACTTGTTCAGAACTTGAAATTTGTCTTCATTAAAATAGAAAAATAGACGTGTGTAACAGAGAAAATGTAGAAAAATTGAGAAATCAAAGGAAAAAATAGATATAGAAAGAATATTATACTCCAGCAACTATTTTTTGTTTAGATCTAGTCGGATCTCATGTAGATCTACTCAAATCTGATGTAGATCTACATCATATCTGAGTAGATCTACTCATCTTGTTCGTTGTCAATGAAGATGAAGTCACGAGTTGATGTCAGTGGTTGGTGGTTGCCGGTGAACCCCAATCAATGGTGGTCGTCGATCACTGGTGACCATATATTAGAAAAAGAAAGAAAATAAGGAAAGTATGATCATCGATCATCGGAGATGACAAAGAGAATGAGAGAAAAGCGTAGAAGAAAAAAAAAAGGAAAACATAAAGAATGAGACAAAAAGTAGAGAGAGAGAGAGAGGAAAACGTGTAAGTCTTTTAGGTCTACTCAAAAAGTTGTTGGATTAAATAGTATACACATATTTCAAACAGGACTTACAAATAATTTCCCTTTAAACAAAAAATAAAAAGAAAGTACAAAAAAGTATCACAGCTAAACAAATCCATCTCAATTAGGTGGGAATAGATGGATGAAATAGAATTTAAAGAATTTAATTCAAATAACAAAAATTACAATTAAAAAATAAGATATAAGTTTAATAGATTCATAATTTTAATTTTATATTGTAATCCGTCCAATCAAGTATGTTCATAGCCTACCATTTATCATTTCTGACAATGATTTCCCAAAAGAGAATAAAGTCAAAAACGGCAAGGAATAAAAGGAAAAAAGGTAAGTTGTACAACCAAATGACCAAATGACCAAAATGCCTTTCGGTAAATTTTTTCACAAAGACTTGAAATTATTGGTTACCTTTCATTTTTGTAGGGTAATAATAATGTATCATCCTTGTCAAATAATTCAGGCACTAGAATAATAAGGGTAGGTTTAAAAAAAATTTTTTTGTTTTTTTTGGGATGATTTTTTAGTTTTAAAAAAAAAAATTAAAATGTGTAAAAAATGTGTTAAAAAATAGAAATGAATCTTTAATTTTTTTTTTTAATGATTTTTTTGCTTATTGACTATCAATTTATTGTCAAACAAAGTCTTAATGAAAAAATAAATAAATAAATAAATAAATAATGTCAAGTAACCAACAAGGTAATTAAACAATAAAATAAATAAACCTAATAGGTTGAGATCGGAAATGATTTAGTTGATGAGATTTTTTTTTTTTTTTTTTTTTTTTAAAGAGTTTGAGTTTGACCGATCCAATTTCTCTTATCTTATTCCTTCCGCTCCAATTTAGCTTGTGCACTGGTATTATACAAAGGGAAATTATTCAATACTTCCGGAGCACCACGTGTCCATACTCTAAACCAATCACCAATTAGTTAGCCCCATGTTGTCCCCCCATTTCCAACATAAATCGTGGGTCCTTGTGTCTCTCCACCAATCAAAATCTTATGGAGCAGCACGTGTCCATACTCTGGGAGTACTGAAT